GCCGATAGGAATGTGTCTGTAATTGTTTTGAGAAGATAAGTGAATAGTGTCTTCCTTTGATTCTTTCTTTCCCTTAGTATTGTTGAATGATATGCAATGTTGGGTGGAATGCCTAGTTTTGTTTTTATTTCAGTTGTAAAACATTATTTTACTGCTCCAGACACAATTATAGAGTTTAGGAAGCTTTCAATGATCTATATTCAACTTACATTAGTCGCAATTTGAGTCCTTTTATCCCATATTCAGAGTTTCGTTTATTTTCTTTTGTCATTACAATATATGGTGGCCTGCCGTTAAATAAGATGGACTGGATTCAACCAGACTAATGGAGTTGAAGTTCGGTGTGTTTCGGAAAATGTCAGTTGTCAGCATAGCTAGTGCCCATTTGTAAAGTCTACGAAGAAAGTGGAGCACTCTTGTATTCGGAGAGATAAGTTCATCTAGGTTGCTTTCATATCTGGGAATATCACAAAGCGACACTCGTGCAAGTACCTCTAACGTGAACCGACATTGACTCAAAGCAGCTTCTCTACATTCTGTACCAGACTTCTTATGTCGGAATGGTCCTGTTCAACGACAAATCCCCTTCCAACACAACACTCTTCTCATCACCGTATCTCTAGCAAAAGCCAATGTTTCCAACCCAGGGAGGCACCTTTTGCAACGAAACGGTAAGTAGAGAATATCTGAGAAGGTTGGATCAGGTTGTTACTAGTAGCTACCTTCCAATGTGTTTAATTGGTTCTCCAACTTGGAGAAAACCAGCTCAAAATATTTGATACTGAAAATAGTAAGTTCAACAGTCAATCCTCCCAACCATCAATGTCAATTTCTATTTTTGAAGGGGAACACAAGATGCTAAATTTATATGGCAGAAAAACAAGATGCCATGCCATTCATAGTAAAGAGGCTATAAATAGAGGGAAGATTGTGTTAAGTCATTCCAACTCCATTTTTCTTTTCCCAAGATAGGCTTTCTCCTACCCTATATAAAGAAGCAACCATGAGAAACCTGGGCAAAACATTCATCCCACGCAAAACCTAGCAACACCAACCCTTTCAACAAAACAAAAATGGCTCCTCAGAATCATTTCATTGCATTTTTAACAATCTTCTTGTCGGTCTATCTCCTTTCTCCCTCGCCATCAATGGTAGCAGCTTCTCCAGCATTAGAGAAAAAGGTATGCAACGGCGACTCAATCTTGAACCGAGATTTCTGTTTGAAAACTCTTTCCAATCCCCAAGCTGCAGCTGCAAAGAACCTGAACCAGCTTGCAGATGCTGTCATGAAATTGGCAGCATCAAATGCTCAAACTACGCTCAATGTAATCACCGGAATGACTAAGAAGCCATCTTCACCAGGATGCCTGCAAGCTCTCAAAACTTGCGAGGATGTCTATAGATATGCCATTAGATCATTTGGAATGATATCTGCGGAGCTGAGTGAAGATGCTATGAGCGCAAACTATGATGTTAGCGTTATTGGCCCTGAAGCTGATAGATGTGTCAACGCATTGGCTGCTGCCAAGGTTCAAGCCCCCCAAGTTTCCGATGGAAATAAATTTTTGCAGTATTATTCTTCTCTGGGATCTCAAATAACATCGTTTGTGAACTAAGGGGTGAGCCAAAATAAAAACAGAATAAAGGAAAAAAAAAAAAAGAGAGAGTAATGTGTGGGTGTATTGTTTTGTTTTGAATTAGCAGAAATGAAAGGGTGTCATTATTGTTGTTGCTTTGGTTTATATTGCAAATTGTAATCTTGAGAAAGAGAGTATTTTGCATGAGCTTAATTTTTACAAGGTTTGCAAGTTGAATGCTACATCCAGATTACTCTGATTATGTATCTTGCATATCTTGATTGATCTCATCATATCTTCTTTTTCCATAGTTATTCTGATTAATGGGGGAACAGAGTAGTTATTGGATCATTCCTCCAAGGGGGATTAGACAAGATGACCCCCTCTTGCCGCACATTTTGTTTTATTCTCTGTGTGGAATACCTTGCTCTCACTATTCTGGAGGAATGTGAAGACTCTCATTGAGATCCTATCCGACTCTCCAGAGGGGGACGAAAGCTTTTACATCTGTTTTACGCAGACGGTTTTCATTCTCTTGGGAAAGGCTCCTGAAAGGACCTGCACCTCAATGAAACAGGTCTTGGAGGACAATCCATCAATTTTTAATATAAGTGAAGCATTTTCTTATCCTATAACACTATTGTCCAAAGGAAAGATCATCTTAGCAACCTCATGGGCATCCCCCACATAGTTGGAAAGTATTTCGGATTCTCTCTTTTTGAAAAGCGCAAAGTGATAAACTATAGATTCATTTAAGGGTGTATTTCTTTTAGCCCTCAAATATAAGGTGTTTTTGAAAATAACCCGTCTAATAATTTTAATTGTTGTTAGTCAAGAGATGAGATTTTGAGACAAAAATGCCCTTAATGAGCCTTCTACATTGACCTGCATTCTCATTCACGCGTATGTTGGTGAAAATAAATCTGCTTAGAATTTGTTCCAATTTTCTGTAAAACATCTTTTTTTTTTTTGAAAAGCTTGTGCAAAACATCCTTATGTTGTAGGAGATGATTTTTCTGATTTTTCGAACATTATAGTAAACATAAACACTGTGCATATTACACGACAAGTCTATTAAATGATCTTTTAATTCATGGTTAGAGATAGGAAAGGGTTTGAACAAGTTCACAATTATTACGCAGCAAGTCAATGAGTGAATGTCGATTTTTTTTGGTGTTTTTGAACGGGTTTAGTGATTGGAATGCCATATTGATTGAGAATGTGGTTTAGTGTTTTGTTGTTCAATGGCAGTCGGGTTTAGTTTGAAGCTGTAACAACCCCCATGGCCATTTGGGTCGAATCTTGTTAGAATATTGAGAGAAAATAGACATGGCATAGTGTGTAACAACGTGATTATTTTATTCATGACATGTATCAAATAAGTCATTAAACTTGGCATGTAGCAAGTAAGAGCATACAAGCATGACATGTAACTGAATAATTATTCTTTTATTCTTTTGTAAATGTTGTGTAGCTTTTTTGGGATTACTGTTCATTATGTGTAGCTCACATGTGCATTACTTTATTCTGTTGAAAATGGATTTTAGATAGTACTAGAAGGTTGATGTTAAACTAAAAGAGGAATCGATTGTGATGAATCAAAAGCATCGAGAATGTTGTGAAACCAGAAATCCTTGCTATTGTGGTGAACCAAAAGGAGGAAGATGTGAAACCAAAGCATGAATTGGTCATGCTACAGTACACCATCTGTCATTTGTTACGCATGGCGTGTAAGAAGTATATTTGACATGACATGATGAGATTATATGAGATGACATGGAAGGAATATATGATACGATAGAGTGGGAATATGTGACACACCATGGAGAGAATATGTGAGATGACATGGTAAGAATATGTGTCACGTCAAGGTAAGAATATGTGAGACGTTATGGAGGAAACATGTGACACGTCAAGGTGAGTATATGTGACACACCATGGAGGAAATATGTGACACGAGATGAAAAGAAAATGTGACATGGCATGGTGAGAATATGTGAGACGACATGGAGGGAATATGTGACACTCCATGGAGGGAATGTATGATACAGAGGGAATATGTGACACACCATGGTGAGAATATGTGAGATGACATGGTGAGAATATATAACATGAGAGGATGAAAATATGTGACACGCCATGGTGAGAATTTGTGAGATGCCATGGAGGGAATATGTGAGATGATGTTGTGAGAATAAGTGACACGACATGGAGGGAATATGTGAAATGCCATGAAAAGAATATGTGACACGATATGGATGGAATCTGTACACTCCATGATGAAAATATATGAGATGACATGGAGGGAATATGTGACACGGCATAAATTTAAATATAAAAAAATGTGAACAAGTAAGGAAACCATTTGAAATTCCACACATGCATATTAGTGGTGGAGGTGTTTAAAGCGCCATTGCATTTTATTTTCATTATTCGCAAACAGTTGTGTCAAGTAAGAGAGTTTGATTCATTCATCATTCCCAAAGGGATCAGAGTGTTCAACTTCATTCTGAGCAAAGTTTAGGATACCAAAGCAATAATGTCGGTTCTCCATGAAGATGCCAGTCAGTTGTCAATTAAAATTTTCTTTTGTTTTGTATTTTTTTGCTAGGTTATTCTATGAAATGTTTAGGTTTTTTCTTGTGATATGTTTTTACTGTTTTCTTCATGTTTTTATGGTTTTTGCCTAAATTATGGAGAGAACTATAACATTTTTACTTACATGCTTTAGGGTTGTACCAACATTTTAGGGGGTCTGCATAGTGTGTAACAAGAATAAATTTCTTCAAGTTGGCATTTAGTGGGTCAACTATTTTGGTATAGCTTTTGTATGGCATGTAGTATGTAAACCGCATAGTTGGCATATTCGCTAATGCGTAATAACATGGGTATTTTATTAATGGCGTGTAACTAAGTGTGTAGCCCATAATACGATTTATACGAAAAAGTCTAGATGTAGACATATAAGTCTACAAGATGTCTACATAAGAGAATTAATCTCAAGTAGCATTGTAACAATAGTTTATGTTAAATCTTTTAGTTGATCCACTCACCAAAGTATTATCAAGAGAGGCTATAAATCAACTTTAGTGGAATGGGGTTAAAACCCCTTGATTTAAATGCTCTAGTAATGGAAACTCAATTTTAAGTTACCAAACTAACAATAAAAGTTCCCTAGGTAATAACAAGCTACTATATGTTCTTACTATGCACTGAATTTTAATATTAAATAACCTTATTCTAGAATATTTAGTGTGACCATTAGAGGAGAGCACAAGGCTCTTGATGAAAATGTTAAATGCCTATAGTAATAAGGCTTAATGTCAAATTCCACTTATATAAATATTGAAGTAGTGCCGCTTCAACCAAGAATTAAAAGGGTTTACTCTTGTAAAAATATTCATGAAACCAAGATTAACACAAGACTATATAAGTTCTAAAATAGTTGATGGAATATTAAAATGATTAAATAATACTATGTGTGTGATATTTTCGGTTATCACATAAGAAATTGTGGTTCAATCCCTATGAATACCAATAAGTTCGTTTTAACTATAAAATTTCTACACTAATAGAAAGTGCAAATCTTCAAGATATTTTTTATTATATATAGTATTATTAATATTACGAACTAGTAGAGGATTGTTAGATAGTTTGTAATGTTTGGGTTTGTTGGAAGTCTCACATTGGGAGTTAATTAATTATTCAGATGTCACTATTCAGTTTAAAACATAACTCTTATATAAACAGAGGTGTTTTTCAACAAACACAACAGTTGATATATACTGATTAATTATTCAATGTTTTCAACAGACACAACTGTTGAAACACATTGGTTTAATGCATACAAAAAAGAACGTACTTCCAAAATAGACTTCAACGTTCAATAGAATTTTGCATTAGGTTTATTGTATCTTGGAGAGTCCTTGTCTACAAATTCTCATAGTGAGTAACAACTCTTTAAAAACAATGTGTTACAGCACACCTCAAGTCTTATTTCTAACAGAAACTATATATTGCCAGTGCATCAAATATAAACTCATGTAAATATATGTAATTTATATTCCATATATATAAATATTATTAATATATTAATATAAATATTGTTAAATATTATTAATATTGTTACTTAATATTTTTATATAATATAAAATGTTGAAAAATAGGTAAAACCGATTAAACTAATGGAACATTAGTTGGTTAGGATACAATTCAATTGGTTCATTCTTTTTTTTATGAAAATTCAATAATTTAATTTTTAAAATTTTAAAACTCAGCTAAATGCTTATTCCAAATGTGTTAACTTAATAGATTTCAGACTTGGCCCAAAGGAAACCTCTCTCCCTTTCTCTCACCAAAATGGCATAGTCAACTGCCAATATATGCTCTAATTTAGTGGTGAAAATTCTAAAATAGTTGCAAAGCTCCACTATTTAAATATAATAATTTTATATTCTTTCCATTTTAACTCGTGTGGATGTCGAATTTGCTAAAAATCTGAGTAATACTTCATAGGATGATGCTAAATAGCGTGATAAATGAATTCGCAAAACATATCAATCAATGTGGTGATTGTGCCGTAAGACAAAAAAGAGAGAGGATAAAATACCCTAGCTTCCCTAAGTTTTGATTGAAATTAAATAGATGTTCATTAGTTTTCGAAATAGACATTTCGCTTTAAAAAATATTTTTTACTAGACACGTAGGTCCAACAGTTAGTCAATCGTTACTACTTCCATCAACTTGCTGATGTGGTAAGGGTAAAAAGTCAATTTTACCCTTGATAAATTGTTATAATTATAATTATATGATTTTATTATTTTTTAATTAATTAAGAAAAATCTCCCCATTGGTCAGGCTCCCCAAACGAGCATGGAGGGAGCCCCAAATTGAGGTCCCTAAGGGAGCACCAATCAGTATTCCTTATTTTTTTTTAGAAAATATAATAATAATTTTTGAATTGATAAAAAATAAAGGGTATTTTAATCTTTTCATTATTTCTATTAACGGTGTTTATAGTCTTGGTGTGAAATGTTCATTTTAAAATCTAATAGATTTTCGTATAATTTCGGTAAAAACTTAATAGAGCCAAAGTATTTTATCCAAAAAAGAATCATCTCCACTCAATTGAATATAATAATTAGATATTAATGTCATTTCTAACTCTTATTATAACCAGCAATTGTTGTGGATTAATTGTGAGATTTAGAGGGATCACATCATGGATCTGTGTGGGATCAGCCAACTAGCCAGCACACGAGCCATTATCTGATGCAGCGCTACCGCTCAGGATAAGCTTGAAATTTTAAGAAGATTAAGCTTAACCAAAAATTAATTTAGCAATAAGAAGGTCTGATTAAAGAGAAATTAAGCATTTTAAACAATAACAAACATAAATTTGACATCTAAATAAGAACCCAAATAAAAATAATTTACGTTATATTGAAAATTTGCTGACATAATAAGTACTTAAAAAAGTTCTTGAATTTATCAAAAAAAATTCAAATAAAACTTTGTTCGTTTATTACTTTAATCAAGTGCTTGTACTCTTATTTTTTATCAAATAAACACATATCACCAAAGGTTAACTAACTGTTGTTAATCAAAATGTCATTTACATTTTATGTCACGTCATGCTGACGAAACATATTGACATGTCATGATGAATGATAATGTGACAAGTTAATGTGCTATGATGACATAGTCTCATAGTATTTTTACCTTCCACATCAATGTTACGTTAGCACTATATGATAAAAAAAATAACAAGTTATATTTTGACTAATTATAAATATTAATTTGATCAAAAATGAAAATATAGAAGTTTTATTGAACATAATAAAAAAATAAAAATTTATTTAAATTTTTTTGAATAGTTCATAAACTTTTTAAAGTATTATATTTTTTTAATACGTTTATTGTTGTTTTCATATGATTATTGATAACCTCTTTTTAACCTTATGCCTTGAATGAACATTGTACCTCACAATAACCATCGTGGCTGCCGAATTTTCCTGCATGTATGTTACAATTGTTAAGAACTCAAGATCCCAATATGAGATATTTCAAACAAAAATTAAGAATGAAATCAGTTATATCTAAACAAAAGAAAAATAAATGGCGTTCACAGCATTGTTCAATAATAGTTTTAGTTAAAAATTATTGTTGTTTGGTTTCTTAAACGAAATGTAATTGGAGAAAAGTGTTGTTACTATTGATAATACTGTTTGTTATGCCAGCTACACTCTTTCATAAATAGGCTCTCTTCTGCCTCTATATAAAAGAAAGTAAAAAGAGAGAAAGAAACCATAGTGTTAAATTCGTCAACAAAACCTTGCAAACATCAATCTTTTCAACACGACAATGGCTCCTCGAAATTACTTATGCTTAGTTTTGACAATTTTCTTGTCTGTCTTTGCCCTTTCTCCTATGCCAACAATTGCAGTAATCCCAAGATCTTCCAAGGTTAAGGTTCCACTTCCAGCACCTTCGTCAAAACTAGTGGCACAATTATGCAATGGCAAGTCAATCCTGAACAGACGGTTCTGCCTGAAAGCTCTTTCCAATCCTGAAGCAGCAGTTGCGAAGGATTTGAACCAACTTGCAAACGTTCTGATGAAATTAGCAGCGTCAAATGCTCAAGCTACGCTCAATGTAATCAATGACATGGTTAAGCAGCCATGCTCACCCCAGTCTCTGAAAGCTCTTCAAACTTGTGTGGACGTCTACAAATATGCAATCCGATCATTTGGAATGATATTTGCTGAATTCAGTGAAGATCCCATGACCGCAAACTATGATGTAAGCGTTGTTGGTCCTGAGGCTGATAATTGTGAAAACGCAATGGCAGCTGCAAAGATTCAAGCACCCCGAATTTCTGCTGGAAATCGGTTTTTGCATTATTATTCTTCCATGGGATCTGAAATAACAGCATCCGTTTGAAGCCGGGTAATATCTTGAGTATGATTCTATAGTCGGCTGAAGGAGCCAAAACATAAAATATAAATCCATGGATCAGTGGTCTGTTGTTTGTCACTGTTGCTGCTTGGTTCAACTTGCGAAACTTTTTCATCCTTTGTGATCTTACAAATCTTGTAATATGATGCAACATCCAAATTATAAATTGATCTTGTAGCATATTACAAGAGTTTATTGTGTAAATCTTGACACTTCAATTTAGAAGTTTGGGTTCAATTTTAAATTAAAAGACATAAAAAGTTATGGTGTAAATACATTCGAATCAAAAAATTAATTTGATATATCAAGAATTTACGTAGTGTCATAAATTAAGAAAAAATATTATATTATTTTATTATCAAAAACTAGAAAAATTACATACTTTTTGTGTTGTTTGGGAGCTCTTTTTGTTTAATAAAGAGAAAGGGGTAAAAGCAAAGTTGGTTTATTTATACATTCCAACAGCAATAAATAGAATAATAATTTATATTTTATTACCAGAACCATTCGTACTTTCTTCATTAACGATTTCTAACATCGTTGGTAGCAACAAAAATGGCAGTGATGGGGTTAGCCCATTCAAACTCAAATAGGGTCGTTGGATCCAGTGGGAACCTAGCGTGTATACGAAAACGACAAGCCCAGACTAAAGACCAAGAATAGATAAGGATTAAGGCTCCAGGAGTTGGGCTACGGTGGGGCCAGGTTCAACTCCAGAGATTAAAAGGGCTTCTTTCATCTGTTACCAAAATGGTACAAAAAAATATAAATAAATTTTTATTTTTTATTATATTTAATAAAATTTTTATATTTTAATTTTAAATTAAATAAGTTTTATAATTCACAATTGATCAACTAGTATTAGTTAGAATGTCATATTTCATTTTATATCATCCGACAATGATATAGTATGTTGACATAATCTTTTCATTTTATATTACGTAATAATAACATAATAGGTTGATATGTTATAATAGAGATAATGTAACTTGATAACTTAATTACGTGACATTTTTTACCATTTACGCTAACGTCAAATCAGTACCATATGATTATAAAATGATAAGTGATATTTTAATTAATGACAATTGATTAATAGTTAGATATAAGGGTTTATTATGTTTAAAATAAAAAGTAAAAAAGCTTGATTGGATGTAATAAAAAATAATAACTTACTTAAATTTCTTAAATAATTCATAAATTTTAAAAGTATCATGTCAAAAATATCTTAACTTGAAGCACAGTTATGTTTTTTTTAATTAAGCAAAAGCATATTTAAGTTGAGAAAAGAGTGAAAGAGAGAAAAGGAGGCTAAGGCCGATGGAAGTTGATTCATATTCTGAATACTAACAGCACCATTCCATTGCAAAACCTACAAAGTAACGATATGAAAGAGACCCCATATTTGTATGTGTGGTGCTGTAGCTATCGAACTACTTCCTTAGTCACTACTCACTAGGTCAAGTCATTGCATTAAACAAAATATAGTTTGGAATGGAAACTCTTAACATTTTTGTTTTACTATGGGCGCAAAGCCCAAGTGAGAAACAATGGATTGTGGGATTCTTTAATCCCAACTTAAATTTTACTACCACTACAACTATTATATATAATAATATATGCACTGATTCATCAAAAGCTGTATCCAGTTTGTTGATTTATATATACAGCTGGCAAAGAATAAGGGATTGCATCACCCAAATTCCAAGTGCTCAATGAAAAATGAATTGCAAAAAGGTGTCTTGGCCTCCAAAGAGATACTTGTGCATGGAACAAAGGATACAACATTCACGTAGCAAAGACCAATTTAATTCCATCAAGAAAGATGAAGAAACAATCACATAGAAGAACAGTTAAGCAGCCGTTGTCACATCAGGACCTCACTAACCAAAAGTTAAACCATAACAGAACATATTCTACTTTCTTTTTCTTTCTATTTCAAAAGGGGGTGTGACTAAGATGCAAAATTCACTTTCATAAGGATATATTACCAGACTTGTTCTCGAGAATTATGTCGACAGGGGGAATGGTTTACTCCAATGATGCTTGCAGCGCCCATGTTCATTGCTACTAATTTATTCCTGTGATGCTTCTGGTAAGTGCATTCTCTACACAATTTTATTGTCACATCAAAACCTATTATTTTGAAAACTATTATGAATTAAAACCTCAAGCTAATCCTTAGATCACTAAAAGGGATTTTAATTTAATTTTTTGCCCTTAGAATATTAACAATTGCTAACTGAGAATATTGTAGTCGCTATTAACATGAACCCTCTATTTCTTAAGATAGAATTAGTATTGTAGGTCATTGAAACAGAATTTATTAGTTTTTGGTAGACGTTGATATTAGCTCATTTTTCTTTTAGAAAATCGTTCATGAATTTAATTTTTCTTTTGATCAAGTACAATTTTAGAAGAAAGAATTGGAACATATAAAATACACGTATCAAAATGCTTGGACGAAATCTTTTATTCATTGAAACAACTTGCTAAAGCATGGTTTTACATTTATCCTTTCCCTGACCTAAAAAGAGTTAATAACACAAATCATAAAATCCTACTAAACCATAAACAAACACCAGCTCGAAAAATCAGCCGCACACACTGCAACCTAGCCACCCAACAAGCCCAAAATTTGCGAACCTACAAATTTCATGTAAACCCTTTTCTTCTTTCTATGTCGCTTTCTTGAGCTTTCACAGTTAGCCAAACAAAGAAGAAAAGTCCTACTAAATCATAAACAAACACCATCACCATCACCATCACCGAAATTCACAAACTTGCAAATTTCATATAGCCACGCTTTCATGTAGAGCTTTCACCAACACCTGACTTAACGACCAGACACTACCAAAGCATTCAAAACTACAAGTTATGACTGAGTTATGACCCAACTGATCATCCATCCTGATCATATCACGTGTCCCCGGATCTTTGATGGTGGAAAATCTCCTGCAACATGGCATATATATGATTAATATTAGAACCTACTATGACTTGCTTTTCGTGAAGATGTTCTATGATATATACGCCTAATTGCACTAAACAATTATAGCTACTTTGAGTATTTGGATGAAGGTTTTTGGTTTAATTGAAACTATTTGGTTCTATAAAGGGGAATAAGGTAAAGACAGATTTTTCTAGTCAACAGAAATTTAATTTGTTTTTAAGAAAAAAAATCATCCAATAAATAACTGCAATATGTTTAGATGATGTTGGAACCAAACGATTAATTCTAGTTCGTTAGTCAACCATCTCACCACTCTCTGCCCTTGCTTGATTACATTTATATACGTTCCTTTGAAGCTTCAATCACCCTAGATTTTTTACATAATGAAAAGAACCTGAGGAATTTCCTTTCTAGAACCAGCATATGCTAGAATTTTTCATAACTTATTTTCCTGTTTTCACATTTTCCTTTCAATCGTTTATTCAAGATATATATGTTCATTATTCTTATATATATCTGTTTAGTAGTTATCGGTGATTATTAAGATAATATTTATGGGGTCTATATATTGACTGCTCACAATAGATAAGGAACATCTGGCCACTTTAATTAATTCGATGCCAATCAACAAGTGAGAATTTAGGCTAACCCATACGATGTAAAAGGAAAATAGCTTGAGTGCTATTAAAATTTTGTGAAAGCCACATTATCTCTGTTCTTTTGATAGTTCTTTTTCTTACTTGTCTTGATAAATTTTTGCTTATGATATTTGGTTGCCATTAAAATTCTTACACTTTTTTCCCTTTAATTCATACATATCACCAGAGGTGTTTAAGGATTAGGTTACTCATCTAGGCTCAGGAGTTCAGCTTGACTCAAGTCGAGCTTGTGCATAGATTTTGAGATTCAAGAGACCGGTCCGTTATTAATAAATATATATTTTAAATTAATTTTAATTTCAAAATATTATAATAAAATAATATGTTTATTATTATTATTATTATTTTAAATTTGAAGGAAGAGATATTTCAATTCTACTCTTTAAACAGTGAAATCATATACCAACCAATAAACTAAATATTCGAGTGTAATACTTTTATTGTTTTAATAATAAAATAATTGTTAAGTAGATGGATTGGACAGAGTTCAAACTTAACTTTTAAAAAGGGCGGTACATAGATCAACTCAAACCCAAATCGACTTGATTCGCATGCACTTTTCACATTTCACTAACTACTTTCACACATAAATGCTCTGAATTTTACATGTTTAGTTATTATTTAAATTATTTATAATTTTATATTCATTTTCCTAATGTACGTTGCCCTTAATGTGGTTTTTATTTTGGGGCTAAATTAACTAGTGTGTCAATGCTATCGTTCAATTTCATACTTATATTTGTTCATCTTTCCAACATTTTTAGATAACATAGTTCGCATGTAAATTGCAGGGGAATTACAACCTAAAATTCTAAAAGTACTTTTCTCTAATTTCAAAATAATGGATAGAAGATTTATTGTTATATACATGAAAATAGCCTACAAGATGAGCAGGTGAAGACATTCGACTTGTGTCGTTACGTGCAATGTGAAAATTTTGAGAGTCGTTATCAATCTTTTTATAAGGTGTGATTGATCATCTATTGAATTTATTTTATTCGATCAAGTCCTAAATTGATTTTAAGTTCATCTAAAGAATAAAAAACTTAATCTACGAATTTTAGAGGTAGTTGTAGTATGATTACACACAGAGAAAGATTAGCATCCCCATTACACCCGTTTCACGAATGGTACCATTCAATCATATGTTATCCTATTTAAACCTTAGTTTTTAATTTTATTCTTATATCTCTTTAATCATTATTCATTACTTTATTCTTGATTTTATATCTCTTATTTTTCATCATCCTTTTGTTTTTCTTTTCTAAAAATGAATCGGAACGACAAATGGCTAAATCTCAATGGATCGTGCCAGTAAGGCCACTTTGTCACTCACAGTACCTCGTCGCGTATTTACGTCGTCTGCTTATTTT